TGCAATGAACAAAAAAAGAGGAAAAATCAAATCAAATCTTGGCAATTATTAAGCTAATTATCATGCGTCTTAATTGCCTACTTGTTGCACATTCTAGACAGTTTTTAGACCTTGGAAAGTTGGCTTAGAAAGTTGCCAATAAAAAAGATGCTTTGGCCAATGACCCAAAAAACAAAGCCAGGCAAAGAAAACTCCATGCTGGCCAAGAGGAAAAACCAGATTTTCTTACTAACTGACATTTACAGCTTGCAGCATCAGCATCAGCAAAAGAACACTGGGAGGTTGGAAAAGTTGCAGACAGACACATGGAGATAATGTCTTTGCATGTTTTGTGCCATTGCAAATCTCAGCGGAGCCGAAAAAAAAAAAGTGGTAGAAGAAAACCCCCCAACCAGGAAGCCAGCACAGCCAGAAGGCCCAGATGTTCCAGGCAAACAGAGGTGCTTGGTTTCTTGAAGGGAGAGAGGAGGGAACGGAGAAGAAGGTGGAAGGAGAGTTCCCAACCAGTTGAAAGCCGAGACTAGCATTCACGGCGGTATCTTCTGGCCACTCAAGTGTGTGTTTGCATCGTTGTTCTAGGCCAGTTTACATAGCCCAACTTTTGAGATATTGACGATGAACGAAGAAGAACTAAAAAAAAAAACTGCAAATAAAGAGCCTCACGAATAGGAGATACTCCAAGATGATAGTCCAAATAGAGTTTAAAGTATATTACCAAGAATAAATGTGTTAAAAATAAAGTTAAACTAATATTTTATTCAGTCAAAAGTTAGCTTTTCTAAACCGTTTTAAGTTTTTTATTACTCTTACCCATAAACCAATTACCCCTTCTGAAAACCAATCCCACTTAATGGTCAAAAACTCTTGGCAATTTATTCAAGTTAGTGTATCATCAAAGAAATCCCAGCGAATCGCTTCAATTTATTGCCATCGATTGTAATTATTCAAATGGCTGTGGCAGAAAACTTTTTTGTTCCATTTTATTTTCCTGGTTCTAGCTCTTTTCCTCCCCCCCTCTCTCTCACTCTATCTCTTTCTCTCTAAAGCCATTTCCATTTTTCAACTTCTTATTCTTGGTGGCGGCATAGCAAGTTTTTCCAGTTCAGTTGGAAAACTATGCAAATTGTTTTCGGAACTTTTGCGGGTAATGAGATGGATGGCAAATTGCTTGGTGTAATAACCACAGTTACACAAGCACTGTACAGTTAAAGGGGCATTGGTGAGTGGTTGTTGATTTAATTGGGTTTAATAAGATATATTGATAAGGTAAGGTTTGATGGCCGACTTTTAACAACAATATTGTTGAGATTTGATTATCTAACATATGTATTGGATAAGAAAAACTTTTATAGCTAAGTGAAAAGTGGAAAAAAATGCGTTTTAATAGGATTAAATTTTAAAATTTTACATTTTTTAGACTAAAAACTTAAAAAACTTAATTTCTACTAAAATTTGTAGTTCCTTCATTAACTTTCGTTGAGTTCTTTTATTGAATATCATTTGGTTCTTTGTCCAATTGTTCTTTTCGGCAGACTTTCCATATACAATTAACCCATGACGAATATAGCGAGAATTATAGACAAAAACCAAACAAAAAAGAGCACAATGAATAGAACTTGCTATACAAACAAACCGCCGGATATAAAACATGAGGTGAAAAAGAGTGGAGGAGAGAAAAGGGGGGCGTTCCTAGCACCCCAAACGTGACATCATCATTTTATAATTTTAATGATTCCCAAGAATGGTCAACGCCAATCGACGACACTAAAGGTCTACAAATTGCTATTAAATATAAATGGAAAGGTGAGCGGAAAACGGAATGAAAATGTAGAAAGGTAGTAGGCAATAGACATGAAGAAATATAAACTAAAGACAACCGATCAAAAAGGTGGACATTGACCCACGTGGAAAACTGAGACCCCCACTGATGATGGTACTTAAAGTAATGGTAAAGCAAAATGCTCGCCTAAACAACAATTAACAATTAAACTTAAACGCAAAGTGCGTAACAGTCGAGAAAAAGAGAGAAAATAAGCGTTAACAATGGACAAATGCAAGACATTGACCCAGGCCTTACAGCCGAGACACAAACCTCTACGTTGGCTTATTAGCATACAAACTTGTTGCTTTCAAATGGCTGTCAACATGTTTATAAGCTTAGCTCAATGTTAAGGCCAAGGTCAGGTTGGCAACATGTTGCTAATAATAAGATTTATGGAAAATATTTTTGAATTTTGAATTATTTATATAAAAAAACCTATTATAAGGAAAATTTAATTAAAAATATATAAAATTTCATTAAATAAAAATACATTTCTGTATATTTTATTTTAGATTTAACATTTGTGGGCCCTTAAATTTTCTTTATGAAGAAATCCAACAATAGGAAACCTTGGCAATAAAAACCAGTTGCCTTGATCTACATCTGTTTTCTTTCATACCCCATTGGCTGCAACATGTTGCCGCGAGCTACTAGTAAATCTGGTATCCCCCGAGGCGCAAAAAGATACGCTAAGGTCAGGAGTTGCACTTCGTGAAGTTGCTGGTAGTAGCATTAACAACAACAACAACACACACACACACTTACGTGTTAATGGCTTTAGAGCCAACGAATGCCGGAAAACTTTGGCTAAGACCAAAAACCACTTAAAAAAGGTCAGCCAAAAGTCGCAGCATATACAGACACACACTTTTCCACTACTAGAGAAGAATGAGAAGAAGCTGAAAATCATTCCCTACTCCTTCCTTCTATTTCTTGGGTTGTAATAAAGAAACTTCACAGCCCACTTTGTCAGATTCCTTTGCCGCCTCCGATTTCCTATGATTTGGCCAAACTTCCCTCTTTTTTTTATAGCTCTCTTCAAACTAATAATCATGACTTGTTAATCTTTACGCTGTTCTTCAGTGAGCTGCCAAGTTTTTCATCTTCTTTTACACTAACTAAAGTCAATCAGAAGAGATGAAAACTTAGAACATAGTTAATATTTAGCGGAAGTGTAAGAAAACTAAACCATTATTAAAGTTGTTGATACATAAACTAAGAACGTTTTACAAACTTATTATATTCCAAATATTGATGTATTATACTTATTTCTGACTGGCTTAAAGAGCATATAAACTTCTTTATAAGCAACCATAAACCCCTTTCCAAACCCCTCATTTTCACATCATATTTTTGTACATGTTCTAAGCTGCTTGGATTTAACGGTGGATGATTGTGATTTTTGTTGTCGGGTGTTAAGTTCTCCCCTTAACTGACTGACGGATGCCCGTAGTTATTTTTGCCTTATTTGTGGCTGCCTTTTTCACGCATTATCGTCATTATCATCAGTGCTAGAGAGAGAAAGAGAGAGAGGGAGGGAGAGCGAAAGATGATTACCCGAATGCCGGCAACTATTATGGATGATGTAAGTGCAAAAAGCCATTGAACGCTTATTATTTTTTCACCTCTCCTTTTAACCAGATCTTACTTTATATATATACTTTACTTAACCAATAAACGCGGAGCAATAAACTTTGAACAGACTGCGGCTAGACATCACCCTGAAGAACCTTTCACTTTGGCCTGGCTTGCTTTCGATCTTAAATGTTAAATTCAAGCTAAGCAGCTTAAGACCATTTCGTTGAGGAAAAGTTTGTGGTTATCCTTGAACGAAAACACTTTCATTGACTTCGCGTTGTTGTTGTTGTTGCTCCGAAAAAGGGGGGAAAAGCCAACCAGCCAAGCCAAACAGCAGAAAAGGACACATCATTTTCCATCCCCAACCTCTCCCCCCTTCTTCACTTTTCATCTGCAGTTAGTGGCTTGGAAGTTACTTGGCTGCATTTTCTGTTTAGCTGCGTTTAGCTTACCAAGTATTTTTGGCACTTAACCAAGGTTAAGTAAGACTTTCCCACCACCCTTCCCCCAACAGATCATAGAAAACAAAAGCCAAGCTGAATCCGGCCAAAATAAGTGATAAAGAGTGAGTAAGAGAAAGAAAAAAAAGACATAAAGGGGAAGCTTGGGCGTGGGTTGCTTTAGATTCAATTCAAGGACTTCGAGTAAAAGTCGTTAAAGTGGCGGATAACTATCTTGGGAGACTGTAAACTGGAATCTTTAAGCATTTTCACGATATACTTTGGGGGAATTATTCTTTAAGCTTCAAGGATATGAAAGGGAGGGGAAAATAACTTCAAATCTTCATAAAAATATTTTCTTCATTCTACGAAATCTATAAAAAAAACTTGTTAGCTCTTCAAGGTCTTCGTTGGGGATGCTCCTATTTAAGCAGTTTTCCGGCTTCATAAAGAAATACCACAAAAGAAAGAGACCAAAAAAACTCAAGCAGAAAGAGACAACATACAGACAAAGAAAGAGATAGAGAGCACAAAATAAAGTCAGCGAGCAAAGTGCGTAAACAAAAACAAAAAACAGATGCAAATTGAAATTGAAAACGTTACGCATGCGCCGCTTTTCCAAGCAAACTTGACTTGATAGTGCTGGCTTTCCATGGAAATCCGCATGTAGACTGTCGCTTGACTTTCAAACCTATCGAATATCAAAGAGAGAGAGGGAGAGATATTAAAGGAAGACAGAGGGAGTCAGCACTACAAATTGGAAGCTGCCAAAGGAGGGGGGTGCTCACAGCAAATGAAAAACGCAATTGGAAACGTGAGGTTGGGTAGTACGCCTCCTTCTCCTCCTTTATTTACCCACCTATCCACATCTTTCTTTCCGTCCCGTGAACATCTCATCCGAAGCCGATGAAATTGAATCTCCTCCGGCTGCGCAAGGCAATAAAAGTGGGCGACTGACCAGAGAGATGCGTCACAAGTCGGTCGACACAGCCAGCGTAAACATAAGTTATGGAGCCATGGATCTGGATATCCTGAATCAGCAGCACTCGTCAACCTTTCACTGGATAATCACCATCTGGGCCACATGGAGCCTTCTGCTATGGAACTTCAATGTTTGTCAGGCTGTACCAGGCGGAAGCAGTGGCGAGCGGTAGGAAGCAATGGAAATCCTTGCTATTGAAACGATAAAATTTGTAATTTCCAGTGTCCACATCCGTCTTCATATGCCGGAGGTGGTCCGCCAGCATACGCATTTCCACAATGTCTACAAGTTGCCAAGGAAAATCCATCCAGTTCCTGCACCACCACCCACAACGATCGCAACATTGCCACCGATGGGAAAACCTCATGTACAACTTTTGGGCTATACAACGTCAGTGGGAAATTCGGGACCAATGTCCCCTAATATAATGCAGCTAATGGGAACAGCAGCCGCACCCACTCTAATGCCAACGCCTACGAACATGATAATGCCCAACTATGGCCCAGCCTTATTCGATAATTACAACCAAGAATCAGTTTTAAGTGCCACAACCACCACAACGACAATGAGACCTCCGATTTTGAAAGCCTCCAAGCAGCAGCAACAACAATTGTTGCAACAAATTTTCACACCCCAACAGCCCGAAGATGAGGATAACTCTGCGGAGGATAATCAGTTGGAAAGTAACTCTCTGCTTAATAGCAACTTCCTTGAGGCTCTGCAAAGGGAATATCTTTCCAAGTTCGGTGGGCGAAGGAAACGCAAGAAAACCAATTTAAAATTGAGAAATCCAAACAAGGAATATACAAATTACTACCGGAGTAAACCTCATTACTATCAGGATGAGGATTTATCAGAGAACTTTGAGGACTATCAGGATGAACAGCCACAGCATGAGGATTACGAGGAAGTGATGGTCATGAGTAGCCCCCATAAATATGGAGGTTATTACCCAACAGGATCAGAGGAAATGGATCAGGATCATGCCCATGGTTATGACAGTGCTGTGGCTTTTAGTGGACAGGATAATAGCATTTCATCTTCCATACCAACAATGGAGGACTTTCTTGAGGATGCTAATAATCCAGTTTCTGGTTTCAGTGGTGGCGGTGGTGGTGGTAACTTTGATCCCTATGGCAGCTCTAATGACATGTATTCCCAACCCTGGCAACCCTCCTCAACAAGCTCTACAATGGCTAACAGTTGGTCAAGACCCACTACCAATTCGTATGCTAGTTCATCATCAAAAGCACCAAAATCCAGACCTGTTAGATCTAGGGGACGAACTAAGGTACGTTATGTCAAGTTAATCACACGAAAGAAACGCAAAAATCATATTCGTACCAAGAGATATCGACCATAGGGTTATATTTTATATTTTCTAAGGGTTTCCAGTTACTTTTCTGTAGTTTATGTTAAATAAAATGTTAATTATTTATAAAGTAAACCAAATTTGAGGAAGTAAAACCCTTAAAAAATTGTTGATTTAATACAAATATTATAAGATTTTATGATAAAGGAAGTCATCTTAAGATAAAAATCAAATTTATTCAAACTTATGTAAGTCTTACCCCTTATAAATATTCTTAAATATCTTCAAAAAGTTAAACAGCTCTTACCTGTAAAGAAAGAAAAAGTAAAGACATTTAATAAAATATTATAAAATACATAAAACAATTACTTAAACTCTTAATTAAACAAGGAAAAATCTGTAGGAAAAGACTCTCCTAGATAACAAGTTAATTATAATTTTCCAGCACAGAAATAGCCGCCTTTCGCAGGCTTCTTTGATTCCATTTCTGCGGGTTTTCCGACTCAAAACAAACTCTCATTAGATGGGCACACAAGCCGTTATAGGAATGAGCTAGGCGTAGGAGGAAAACTACCCCATAAACAGCAACCAGAAACCGATCCAGCCCCCACATTTTCCACACCATCCAAAGAAGCCAGCAAATAAAGTCTCCAATTAAATGGGCAGTTGAGGGGGGAAGGAGAATGGAAGGAAGGGTATTTGAGCTGAGCAAATAATAAGTACAAATGCTAATAAAATTCAATTAAAGGCCACAAAATTACAATAAAAGTGGGCCCAAAAAGGAAACTAACTCCGTTTTGGGACAAAGTGGAAGGTAGAAAGGGGATAGAAGACCATGAAAAGTCAAAATTAACGACTCATTTGGGCAAATTGAAGACATAAACTAGCAAAGGGGAGGTTTGAGCAAGGGAAGTGCGGGGGGTTTCTTTTCTTAGTCATCATCTAAGAAATCTTAGAAATTATCCAGCAACTTAAACTTACGAATGGTATATACTTAGTACTTAAAATAATCCAAGAAAAACTTCATTTTATAAGAATAAATGGTAATCCAATTTTCTCATGATTTTCAAGACTTTTTGAGATTATCCCAAAATCAACACACCCTTATTTTCCTTTACTAATGGGCATCTTAAAGATATACATCTATTATATAGAACAAAATCCAACTGACTGACAGAATAAACCTCCAAGGAAGGGATGTTGATATGTGGGTGTGATGAAGGTCTCGTCCTTTTACGCCATTTCGCATTCTTAATTTTCTTGCTGGTCATATTTTTATATCATTTGGGCCATAAAAATGCAAGAGAAAACCGTCTAGAATGAGTGAAAGTGTGATGTAAAAACATTTTCTGCATACTTTTGGGGGTGGTAACAGAAGAAAGCAACGAAATTAAAAGCGTGTAAAGATTTTCATTTGCTCAAGGATGTTGGCAGGACATTTTTGGATGCCAGTGAAGCACATAAAGTGTTGATGTCCCAACCATATGACATTTATTGTTTAGCCGAGACGACGGCAAAATGTTCTCTGCCCTTCTCTCTCTTTTTTTTTTTTTTTTAGAGGGTTTGTGGGGAGGAAATTTGTGGGTTAGAAGCCGCTGTACGAGGCGCCATGTTTATTACCCCAACAGATGGCATTGAAAAGGAGATGGGGAGAGAGGGTAGAGAGGCGGCAACAAGTGGGGCAGATTTTTCCAGTTTTCCTCGCTTTTTTCTTCAAGAGATTTATGAGGCGTGGGCAGCACAGGCTGATGTCATAATATATAAATGTATTTGCGATTAAAGTCGGTCGCTTTGAGCCTGCCAAATGATCAATGGCTTTGTTATATGGCCAAGAATAAATCGTTGACAAAGGTCATGGGGGAGAAATTGGCAAGGAAAATTGATGTGGGAGTGGAAAATTTAAAGGGAAAAAAGGGAAGAAAAAGAGTGATAAGTTAAAGTTGTATTAAACTTAAGATGATTGCTGATTTTCTACTAATTTTTGAAAAAATTTTAAATTTTAACACATTTTCCAAAACATTTTCTCATCTCTGTTCGCCTTTATTTTCCCTACAAATTGCCTTTACTTAAATCCCCTACAATAAACAAGCATTTACGATGAATTTGTGTTTTTTTGCAAACACTTTTTTATTCCCCCCATTGGCGTAATTGATTTTCTCGAAATAATGGACAACAGAGAGTCAGGCCGAGCCAGGCCAAGCCGAGCTGAGCCATCAGAATGACCAATATTCTACAATATCCGATCCGTCTGCCCGAAATGACAACTTTATCTCTCACTGCCCACAAAACATACACAGAATGAGGGAAAATTTTCCATTTCCTTTTCGGTTTTTACTGAAAGTGACATAAAAATGGCAGCAGCACAAAAAAAAGAGCCTGCGCTTGATAACGCAGCCAGAAAAACTCGTCAATCTCCTCTCCCTTTCAATCCAATCCAAACACTGAAATCAACATTAACTTTATAAGCCTAATAAAAGTTTTATATTTCCCTTTTGCCATATGTCGGATAATAATAATCGCAAATCGCATATAAGAAAAATTGAATTTTCAGCTGGGAAAATCACTTTACTTAGTGGGAAAAATAAACATCATTAAAAGCATCATCACCAGAGAAGGAAAATTCATGTGTCATTGTTAGTGCAGAAGAGAAAAGTCTTCCAGCTTAGCTAATTTTAAGACAAATGACTGGAAATCTTCTTGGCAAACAATTCATTAATTTAATTAATTTGTGGCAATTAAATATGGTCGAGAGTCCAGAGGGGGAATGGTTGGATTTCTGGCACAGTCATCATCCACTCAATGGGACAGTCATTTGTTAGGTATAAGGAAACCGAAAGACATATATATTCCACTCGCATGTTCATCAATTCCCTAGAGAGAATCTATGGGGCGAACTTTAGCACTTTTCTCCATTTGCTGGGTGTGGTCGAGGGACCACATTTTCCACAGGAAACCATACGCAGGACCCAGCTTAAATGGGTTAAGTGCTGGCGATAAACACGTTTGCAAAGGTTAGGGAGGGAAAATGGTGAAGAAACGAGCAGTCAACACCCACTAAAACGAACCGTATGAGACGCAAAAATATGTGTTGTCATGCCACTCCCCGAGCTCATGCTGGGAAGATGTGGGAGATGAAATAGGGGGAAGTTGTTTGGGGAAGAAGAGGCGGTCTATCCCTGTTAACACCTGTTAAATATTAAAAACTTCCTTTTGGGAAATTAATTAAAATATTTTAATATTATCTATCTTAATTATTAAAGTATTTAAGAGGCTTTCGGCATCTAAGTAGACTTTAGAGATTAACTTATTAAAAAAGAAATTAAATCTTAACTTAAATAATCTCCTCTCATTATCTCCTTAAGCTGTTTTGTTCTTAAAATAACTCAACACTTTAAAGCCTTTAAAATGCATTCGAATGACATCATTCTTACATTTCTCCCGATATATATAGTATATATATCTATCACTCAAACTGACTTAATTTGCATTAAAGTCAAACGACTGCCGACTTTTCCACCAACCAAACAGATGCAATCCATGTAATCATCCGACAAACCGCTGGACAATAAAGCAATTTAATTAAAATGAAAACTTCTACCCAGAGAGTGGGAGGGGGGGCTAAAGAAAGAGAGAGAGGGAAAGAGAGAATGAGAGATAGTGGGGATGGAAAATGAAATACTCTCCGGGGGCATTACGACAAATGTATTACAAAATGCTAATTAAATGGCACAGAAAATTGGGCCAAGCCTCTCTTCTGCTCGTAATGGAAACTAAGCTAATCACACCCCAAAGGGGGCAAAAAGTATAGGGTATATTTTCATGCTGATTCCATTGGGGATTGTGCAACATTGTAAAAAAAAAAAAGAGAAAAATACAAATTACAAATTCCTTTCGCTTATTTGTGACAATTAAGTGCAAATTACACATTCTGTGTCACACTTTCAAGCTCTTTTTGCTATTTCAATATACTATATGCACACCCACACACGCATCAAATACAACACGCAATGTTAGCTTACACTAGTCAACAAAAGATATGTTTTATATTTTCCATTTTAATAGAGATTAAACCTCTCTTTCTTAAGATTTCTTTCTCTAACAAAGTTCTTTATCTTTTTTCACAATTTTTCTACATTTTACTAAACATTTTATCTGCCCCTCTTCACTGACTGCATTTAAGCTGACATTTTGACGATAACAATTAAAAGGAATGAGTGTCGCCGCTGCGGTTTCATCACCAGTAACCTCAAAACATATGGAGAACTGCGGCAGACCCATATGACGATGACGATGACGATGATGATGGGGCAGGCAGGCAACGTCTGCTTGGCCGGAAAAATATAAATAAAATGTGTGTGCGTGTCCGATGCAGTGACAGTTGCAACAACAGTTTGCTGATTATGATTATCGCTTGCAAAACCCTCATATCATAACCCCCCCTCTCTCTCTCTCTCTCTCTCTCTCTACCCATTAAGAGTCATAGATCCCTCATGGTCCATCATAATATCTGGGCATGGTCTTCTCTCTCTCTCTTCGGACAGCTGTGATTACAACTTTTCTGTTCTGTTTATGTTTTGCAATTGTGTCGTTGCTCTATGTATATGTTTGTGGAATGAGTTTCTGTCGGTTTTTGACAGTTATGATGGAGAATTGCGTATGTGTGTGTGTTTGATTGTGTGTCATGCCAGAGGGCAAGGCACTTTAAATGTGACGCAGCAGCAGCAGCAGCAGCAGCAGCACACAAAAACAGTTGCAATCTCTAAAATTGAAATGCAGTCAGGCGAAAACGACAAACACAAAAGATTCGGGCAACAGACATGATATCAAAGTTTCTAAAAGTAGCCAAAATATGTGGCAAGAACATGTTGCATAGACGAAGGTATTACTTAAAGAGCGACTCTCTTAAAGGTTTTTAAATTCACAATTATTAACATAGACACCATATTAAGTAGAGTTTATGATTATTACTTGAGTTTCCCTAACAAATCAATCACTTTCCCAGTCTTTCCCAGACTTTTCCCATATTTAATATAACAAATCATCAAAAATTACATCTCCCTCACATAACCCCTTCTGTCTAGCTTATCACTTTCAATAAAATCAAAACCAAAACCCAAAAAAGAATGTCATTCTTTTATCTTTTATACAACCCACCTTATCCCATAACCTTTTTACATTTTCCTTTATCACAAACATGAGTTACATTGTTCGCCAGCATTGTCAATGCATTTTCAGCATATCATAAAAGTTGACAACGCTTGACCCCCAACATTTCCAATAGCCAAACC